TCCCATCTTATATCTTATACTATTATATAAAGCGGAAGAGTTTGTTTGTTTGTTTGAACGCGCTAATCTCCGTAACTACAAGTCTGATTTGAATAATTCTCTTTGTGTTGGATAGCGCATTTATTGAGGATAAAACATCGCTACGACCAATAGGAGCCGAGCAGAGCGGAAGTAGCTAGTGTAATAAATAAAATAAATAAGTATCACCTGATGGTAAGCAATCAACGCCGTCCACGGACAGTCGAAACACTAGAGGCGTTACAAGTGCGATGGTCGGATCTATATTTAGCTAGTCAATTTATTTGGTATACAGATAGATGGATGATGGGTATAAACTCTATTTAAAATTTGACTGCCTCGATAGCTGAGTGGTCGCAAGTGCGACTGCCGGGCAAGGGGTCTCTGGTTCGATTCCCGGGTCTCAGTAGTAGCACGGAGCCTTTTTTTTGAGGAGGGAAAATCATCCAATGACTCCTCCCGCCCGGGTGAGGCGAGAGGGAGTGTCAGACTCTTACTGACTAAAAACCACCCCGTTCCTACTCCTGCACTTCGAGCCGGAGCCCCGGCAACCCGTTAAGTCTTCCGCGGCTCCGTATCGGCATCAGCCCTGTTAGGCCCCCATCTGTGGTGGTCTGATGGCTCCTTGAGGCGCCGACCTTGTGGAGATTGGGTATGGGGGGAGAATTGGTAAAAAAAATAGGTTTCCTACGTCTCAAAATTTCCTGCATATTTATTTTTAGTTACTTACCTATATCATGTATTTGTACTTGTACATATGTAAGGTCAGAGCCGTATTATGCCTGTGGCAAACTAAGTGACTAGGGCGCCAGGATACAGAGGGGCGCCGCGAGACATCCGTACCCAACTACCCATAGAGCAGCCATACTCAATCTTATTTTACTAGGGCCTAAAACCGCAAGCGAGGAATTACTGGGCAAGAAACTACTGGCTACTTTTTATCTTTTAGTTTCGACCACCGAATCACTTGTTCTTCTATAGGCGCGAAATCACTACATAGTATAAAACAAAGTCGCTATCCGCCGTCTGTCTGTCCCTATGTATGCTTAAATCTTTAAAACTACACAACAGATTTTGATGCGGTCTTTATTAATAGATAGAGTGATTCTTAAGGAAGGTTTATATGTATAATACATGCATATTGCACCCGTGCGAAGCCGGGGCGGGTCGCTAGTTTAAAATAAAACGGAGCTTAGGAACTTTCAAAAAGGTCCGACGGGCCGCATGCAGCTGGGTATAGCTACCATAGAGTGGAGGCGGCACCAATAAGTACTAGGGGCGCCAATGAGGAGCTTGCCTAGGGCGCTGTCTAGATATAATACGCGTCTATGTATGGTTGTTTGTCATGTAATGGAATCGTAATAGATGACGTACATACATAACTTCACGCCCGTCTCCCATTGTGGCAGAGACTATGCACGCCAGTAGGGTAGATGACTAATTTTTTTTCCAATGTCCGTCTGGTACATTATTTTAAAACATTAGACACGTATTTTTTTTTTCTTACGGAAACGAATACTTTCGACGATATATTGATTTAAAATGTCGCGTGACGTCACTTCTATGTACGTTTTATACGTAGAAATGACGTTTTAGCCTCCACTCCTAAACTTTGATTCGTTTTATCTAAGTAGTGTTTTGTTATACGACAAAATAAAAAAAAATACGTGTCTAATATGTCTTCATTATCTAACTGACGGACTAATTAGGTATATTTTTAATTCTCATACCCTGTCGTCACTCCTATTACTACGATTCCTACATACCTCTTTCGCTTCATCAACAGTCATCAGTCTTTCATGCATGCTCGTCGGTTAAGGGCACTTTTAATGTTTATTACTTTCGCTGTGGATGACGTTCTAACTTATGACATAAAGGCGTGAGTTGATAAACTCAAGTAACCACACATGTATTGACATGTATGTATAGCTACTTGTTAAACACATCAAAGTAATTGGAATCCGAACTACGCAGGCGATTACGAAACGAATCATTTGAAACATCGTAGTAGCATAGTGATGACGTTGTAATTACATCTTGTGTCCATGCATTGTACCTTCAAGGACTTTATGCTTCAAGGTTTGTTTTTTTATGGGAAAAGCAGTTTACCGAGCAGACGGATCTCCTGTGTCCCTTCGTCCAGCATACTCACCATGGAATCCTGATATTTCATGAATGTCAAAAAACTGTTCTGAAATAGTGCTAAATAGTGCCCAAAGGAAAAAAATAGTGCTCTTGTACTTGCGAAGTTATAGCCATAGTTCGATGAGTATGCTGGACGAAGGTTTCGCCCAGCATACTCACCTCCGTCCGGAGAATCTGTATACGCTTCAAACATAATTCATACTTCAAAAAATAGTTCCCAAATAGTGCCAAACGGTGCCCAAAAACAAAAAACAGTGCTCGAATAACTTCGGAGTTATAGGCTTCGTTCAGTGAGTATGCTGGGCGTAGGTTCTACGCCCAGCATACTCACCTCAGTGCGCGAATATCGAACGAGCTATAGGTACAATTTACGTCTCAAAAAATTGTGCTTGAAATAGTGCCCAATATCAGTCCAATTTTTGCTTGACTTTTGAC